GCTATGTCTACACTTGCGGCTTCTTGCGCAAGTACAGCTGTTCTTGTGCAAGAACCCATAGAGCAGCCACACTGCCCGCCTGCTCTTGCACAAGGAAATTCACAGTATGGTGTGGTAAGAGAGGGCGTCTTGCACAAGAGCTATGTTCTTTTCTAACAGGTGTAATCTCTCTTGCGCAAGAGGGCAGTGTGGATGTTCGGCAGGGATTTCTTGCGCAAGAAACCCCTATGGCTAAAATGGCCATTGGAGCTTTCTTGCGCAAAAGAGTGTCCACACTGCCATGGATGCTCTTGCGCAAAAGCACAGCTCGCACATGGCAGTGTGGACGTGTTCTTGCGCAAGAAGCCACCAATGTAGACATAGCCTCACTGTATACCTAAGAGTTTCCTCCCATGAGCAGAATGGATTTTGTGTTGTGCACCTGTACTGAGTTCATGTGGCTTGTTTGGATGTGCCACTGTGGCACCCAAGTTATTAATAAATATTTTATAAACCTTTACCTTTTCTCTCTGCTGCCATGTCTCCTCCCTTTGCTCCATCAGCTCCCCTGGTGCCTGCTGCTCCCTAACTCCTCCCCCTCCTCTGCTTTCCTGACTCCTGCCCCTCTCACTGCCCTCAGCCCTCCTGCGACCTGCCCCCTCCAGTAGCCCTTCTCTCCCCCCTGTGCCCACTCCTCCAGTAGCCCCACTCTGATCATATGAGCTACCCCTCCTCATCCCCTCTCCTAACACCTCCCTCTACACACCTGCCCTGCCTCTCTCCTCTGGTGCTGGTCCCTCCCCTGTAGGTGTCAGTTCCTACCTGGTCCGACACGATAGAGTCCCAGGTGCTCACCGGATACACTACTTCCCTGGTGGCTGCTTCTCCCTCATTGACGATGGGGGAGACGTCCCAACTGGCCCTCGGGTCCCTGCTGTCCTCCCTCGGATTGGCTGGCTGGTGATGCAGCTCCCCCTCTCTCCTCTGGTGCTGGTCCCTCCCCTGTAGGTGTCAGTTCCTACCTGGTCCGACACGATAGAGTCCCAGGTGCTCACCGGATACACTACTTCCCTGGTGGCTGCTTCTCCCTCATTGACGATGGGGGAGACGTCCCAACTGGCCCTCGGGTCCCTGCTGTCCTCCCTCGGATTGGCTGGCTGGTGATGCAGCTCCCCCCTGAGGTCCTTCCTCTCCGGCAGTCAGCCCGGACTGAGCCTCCTTCCAGGCTTTTACATCTGGGCTGCAGTCTGAGCATGCTCAGCAGAGCCCATTGGGGCCAGTGCCCAACCAGGAGGCCTTGAGGGAGAGTTTCAGCAAAGGCGAGCCATGAGAATCTCCCTTGGGCCTCCCCACAGGGAGCTTCTGCATTTCCCCTGTGTGACTTCCTCCTCCACCAATCCCTTCCCACCTCCCCCCCCCCACCTGCTGATAAAATAAGCCAGACTTTTTGTTTTGAAACAATAAAGTCAGTCCTTTTTATGTGGGAAATATATAACTGGGGAGGAACTGGTGGAAGTATCTGGGAGGGGGGGGATATAGAAGAAGGAGGGGACTCAAGGATGGGGCTGGGACTGGCACCTGCCTTGAGTGGGTCAGGATGCTTCAGCTGCCCAGGAGGTCCCATCACCTTGTGTGCACAGCTCTCAGTGGCCCAGAGGGGGGCTAGGAGGAGAAGTCAAGAGAACGGGGGCAGGGGTGACTGGGGAGTACTGGAGGGACTTGGGGGGAGCGGGTGTGGCTCCTGGTGCTGGGGGTTGGAGGATGGTGGGTGTGGGTGGGAAGTGGCTGGTGGACTGATTGATAGCCGCACAGGCGCTCTAAGGTGGTGGTGATGAAGGAGCACAGGGCCTCGTGCTGACAGGTCAGTTGCTCCCAGATTGTCTTCCGCAGCTCCTGGTCAGCCCAGTGCTCCTGGCACTCCTTCTTGAAGTTCTGGTTGAGGGAATGGATGCACTCGAGGTGTTCCCACACCAGGTCATCACATGGTCACCTTCACCTGCGGCTCTCATGGGGTTGGGAGGATGGCATGGGAGGTGGTGGATGCACCACACTCACAGCTGGCCCAGCTGTGAAGAAAAGTGAGAAGGGAAGTCATCCCAGGAGGCAGTGTGCATGAAGCCCAACCATCATCTCTGAGCCAACACCAAATGTGTCAGTTCAGACGATGGTGATGTGTTTTGAGCAAGGCCATCTGCTGCCTAAACAGCAGGCACTTTCCTGCAGGGCACAGATATCTCAGGGGAGTTTCACTGTCCCCCACATCCCAGGGACAAGCAGGCATGGGAAGGTGCTGGCCAGGCTAGGAACTTGCAGGTGGGAGGGGAAAATGGGGCAACTCGCCTTCCCTTTGTGCCGCACACATGCTGAGTCCAGCAGTGAGCATCCCACAGAGGGAGAACTTCTGTCCCTGCCCTCTGGAGGAGAGGGTGGAGATTGTTGGGGGAGGTGTGTGTAAGCTGCAGATGCTGCTTGCTGGGGAGGGTGGTAATGGTGTTCCCTTTTCTTCCTCCCCCTGGCGGATCCCTATACAGGGGATCAGTGTCTGGTGCATCGTCGCACTTGACCAGGAGTGGATGCTGCCCGACAGCATGGGTATGGCTGTGTGCTGTGTGTTTTCACGATCCCAGCCTCCTTAGTGGTGGCTTCTCATGGGAAGGTGTCCCACCACAGAGTCAAGAGTAAGGCAGGCCTGTGAAAGAACCTTGTGAGAAGGAGCGACGGGTTCCTGAGTGGCTGCCTCATTGTGACCGTGTGCTCTGGACTGGTGCTCCGTGTGCACCCATGTGCACAGGCTGCTGTTCGATCCCCAGGCTGAGAAGGCTGAGCCACCTCCCCCTGCGTATAGATAGGGAAAGTTAGGGAACTCACCTGCAGTGTCTTCCCCGGCCTCATCCAAGCCCTAGTAGACATCCTGGGAAGGGAGAACCGGCTCTAGGTTGATGACAACCTCCTGTCTGGCAAGCCTGGTGTCCAGACTGGCCTGCTCCGCCTCTTCCTCATCATCATCCTCATAGTCCTGGTCCACAGCCCTGCCCTCCTGGAGGCTGATGATGGGTATGTCCAGGCTGGAGTCCACAATGAGCAGGGGGAGGCAATCAGCCCTCCCCCCTCCCAGGATGCCATCCAACTGCTCATAATAGCAGCAGGTCTGGGGTGCTGCTCCAGAGCAGGTACTTTGGTCCCTGGTCTTCGGCGTAGGCCTGCCTGAGTTCCTTAATTTTCATGCGCTCCTGCTCCAGCGTGCGGGTGTGCCCCTTCTGGGTCAGGCTGGCAGCCATCTGGCCATAGACATCCACATTACAGCATCTGGTGCGGAAATCCTGGAGGTTCTACTCCTCCCCCCAGACCTCGATGAGGTCCAGGATCCCTGCACCAGTCCACAATGGTACTACTCTTGTTTGGGCTCCCGAGCTGGCTGCTGGTGTGCTTGCAGCCATGGGGGGCTCGGAGGGAGCACTGGGGTTGCTCATGGCAGCAGAGAATGCTGCTGTGTGGCACGGTGGTAGCAGAGCTCGCATCGTGCCACCAGCCCTTTCCCTTCTGCCTGCAGCTTTAAACTCTGCAGGAGAAGGGAGACTACAGAGTTCTGATGCGTGTGGACAGAGCAGCCACCAGGGCAGCTGTGAGAAGCCCTGGAGGCCAATTATTTTGAAATTAACACAGCTGAGCATCCCCACATACCCTATTCCAAAATAGCAATTTCAAAAGAGACGTCATCCCTCATAGAATGAGGGGTTATTATTTCGCTATCGCAAGCCCACTGTTCCAAAATAATTTTGAAATAGTGCGCTTGCTGCATAGACGCTCGCTTTGTTATTTCGAAATAACATGAATTATTTCAAAATAACTTTGTAGAACAGACATGCCCTAATGTCAACAGTTAAAACCCCTGGAAACCAAGGGACCCCAGACTTCTGCCAGTGAAATCAAGTTGCCACCGGCATGAGCCTGCCAAGCTTTGGCCTGTCTGTGTTGCATGGTGCTAGAGATCCTGTATGCACTATCCATGGACTACAGATAAAGCTAGATCCTATTGGACAGAGCAAAAATTTTACCCACATGCCTATATGGTGAAACAGAATTTGATCAAACAAAAGTGTGTCCAGGTACCAGATTTCTGTGACTCTGTTGCAATGAGGTCTGAATTGGTTTGCACGAGGAGCAGCTGTATCTATGCTCTATTTAGGCATCAGAAGCTGGGTGCTTGTTCTGGGGTTTTGCAGCACTCGTGCCAGGATGCAGAAAGCACCAGATATTTGGTGCCCTGCTATCAGGTAAATCTCTTCCATTTTCATAGTACAGTTAAAGGGCGGGGGAGGGGAGGGTGACTAGCTGGCAGAATCCAGATTTTACAGCTA